TGAAACACAATTTATTAGTTGTTCTTTTATATACTCCAAAAGTATGGATCATACTTTTGGTGTTGTATCTAAGAAATCTCTGCATAACCCAATGTCACAAAAGTGTTCTATGTTTTATGGTTTTGTTACTTATATTTACGTCTATATTTTGAGCCAATTTTTATGTGGTGTGAGGTATGGATCAAAGTTCCTTTTAAATTTAATTTTGTTTTGCATATAGAAATCCAATTGTTACAGCAAAATTTGTTGGGAAAAATTATCCTTTCTTCACTAAGTTGTCTTTCCACTTTTGTCTAGAATGAGCTGTATATTTACGTGTGGTTCTCTTTCTAAATTCTTTCTTCTACTACAATGGTTGATTTTTCTATCCTTACACCAATATTCCATTGTTTCAATTACTATAACTTTGTAATAATTATTGAAAAAAGTTAATGTTAACCTTACAATTTTATTCTTTTTCAGAGATATTTTGGCCATTATAGGTCTTTGCATTTCCATATGAATTTTATAATGAGTTTGACAGTGTATATTTAAAAAATTGAAATCTGGATTGGGATTGCATCAATTTATAGATCAATTTAGGTAAGATTATCATTTTAAAAATGTTGAGTCTTCTGATCCATGAACATGGTATATGTCTCCATCTGTTTAGAGCTTTAATTTCTGTCAGTAAAGTTTTTAGTTTTCAGTGTTTCATACTTTTTATCAGATGTATCCCTAAGCATTTTGTATTTTGAATGCCACTGTGAATAGGTTTGTTTACTAGATTCAGTTCTTGATTGTCTGATTTTTATTTCAGTTTATAGAAATGTAGCTGATTTTTTATACTGACCTTATATCTTGCAGTCTTACAAAAATTACTTCTTAGTTCTAGCAGGCTTTTTTTTTTTTTTTCTGTTTTCATAGGATTTTATAAATAGATGTCACCTGCAAATGAAGAGCTTTACACCATTCTTTCCAATTTGAATGTCTAATTTCTCTTGCCTGATTGCATTAGACAGAATTTCCAGTATATTGTTGAATTGAAGTGGTCAGAGTGAACATCTTTGTATTGTTTCTGATCTTAGGAAAAAAGCTTTTAGTCATTCACCATTAAACGTGCTGTTTGTTCTATTTTTTAAATATATGGGTTAGGTAGGTTGAGGAAGTCCTTTCTATTCTTAGTTTGCTGGGAGTTTTTTTTTTTTTTAATCATAAATAGATGAGGGATATTTGTAGCTTTTATAAAAAATGTGATGTTAGTCTTATTTTGTTTTCAGGGTAATGTTAGCGTTAACTAGGAAGAAATAGTAAATATTCCATGATTTAAGAAATGTTTTCCAGGAGGTTGTGTATAATTGGTAGTATTTCTCCCTTAAATATCTGGTAAAATTCACTAGTGCAGACATCTGATTCTTGAGTTTTCTTTCTCAGAATGTTTTAAGCTATGTCAATTTATTGGATAAAGGGCTTCAGGTTATGTATTTCTTCTTGAGCAACTGTGTTTTTTTAATGAATTGGTTAGTTTTATCTAAGTTATTGAATTTAATAGCATAAAGTTGTCTATAATATTTCTCTTTTATTTTCTGTATGATCTGTAGTTCTTTCACCTGTTTTATTCCTTACATTTCTTGATTAGTTTAGAGATCAGTTTTATTGATCTTTTCAAAGAAAAAATTTTTGGCTACATTTTATTTTTAATTATTTCCCTGTGTTCTGTTTCATTACATTCTCTTCAGTTTTTAATTATTTCCCCTTTGCAACTTATTTGGTTGAATTTAATGCTCGACTTCTAGTTTCCCAAATTGGAAATGGAAGTCCTTGATTTGAGATTTCTTATTACTAATATAGGTGTTTAGTGATGTAAATGACTCCCCAAAGTATAGTTTTAACTGCATCCCACAAATTTCGATATATTGTATTTTCATTTTTACTCAGTTTAAATATTATTTTCCTTTATATTTATCCTTTTAATATGGGTTATTTTAAAATGTGTTATTAATTTCCACACATTTTAGAACTTTTCTTGATTTATTTCTTTAATTGATTTCTGATTCAATTTCATTGTGGTCAAAAAGCATACTTTGTACAACTTGAATCCTTTTATTCAGCCTTGCTTTTATAGTCCAGAATATGTTTGACTGGTAAATATTCCATATGCACTTCAAAAAGACAAGCATTCTGTAGTTGTTGAGTGCTGTATATATCTCATTGGGTCTATCTGTTGACAGTGTGGTTCAAATTGTATATATCTTTACTGATTTTCTGCCTATACTATCAATTATTGAAAGAAGATGTTGAAATCTGACTATAATTGTGGATATATCTATTTCTTTTTACAGTTGTTTTTGCTTCTTGTATTTTGAGGCACTGTTATTAGGTGCATAAGTATTTAGAATTATGGTATTTTCATGAAGTAAATATTATTCCTAGTAATATTATTTACTCTGAAATCTATTTTGCCTTATAGTAATAGAGAGCTACTTCAGAATTAGAGTAAAATAGTTTTTTTCATTTCATTTCAGATTTTCCTTTGCTAGTATATTAGAAACACAATTACCTTGTATTAGACATGTCTGTATTAAAGTCATAAATTATTAAAGTTTAAATAATCTTAGAAATTATTTAACCCAACTGTTTCATTTTGCAGTTGAGTGACCGAGATCAAAAAGATAGAGTTACTTTTCAACACCACAAATCTGGTCATTGGAAGTGCCCTTACCTTCTGTCAGATACACCACTTATTTGAACCCATCTCTCTTGATTTCCTGGCCAATAACTTTTCTCCTCAAAGCACTGTCACCTCTTAGGCCAATCACACAAAGTCCAAGATGGGATACTTACTATGAAAATGGTTACATTTTTAATACTAATCTAATTTTGGTTCACCAACAACTTTGGATACCTTTCTTCTATATTTGCCCAATATATATATAACAAGTCTGTGGTTTTTGAGTTCACTTAAGGCAAGGAAGTTCTTCTAAAATATAATAAATTTCTCATTTAGCATTTGAAATATCATTCCTAAGTATTAATATTTATTTTAAAACCCTTCCATTAAAAAAAGTAATATATGTCGAGAACCTAGGTGTTAGGAACAGTAAAATATATATCTCATTATATGCATTATGATTTAGGTATGTTATCTTGTTTTATCCTCAAGTAACCATACGATTATTCTCATCTTACAAATGAGAAAATTGAGGATCAGAGTTAGATAAAGTAACTTACTAGAAGTGGAGCCAGAATTTGAGAGCAATGCTTTTTGACTCCAAAACCACCAAGACAATGTTTTCCAGACCTTAATTTCTTTTGCCATGTATGAATTATCTGCATAATTCTTCATTTAAATTGACAAATATTTAACTTAAGTACATTTATATAAAGACAATTTTTACTTTCTTGGATGAAAACCAATATATATAATTATAAGATAATTTTAAAAATCAAATAAAAACAGAAAAATATCGCTAAATTCTAGGTAAACATTTTACTTGCTGCTCTTTGTTATTATTGAAAAATACAATTAAAAGGTATTTAAAAAATTTAAAAGACATACTTGCATTAAGCTGACCATTCCCATTATGTAACCAGAAGCTCCTAAAAAGAATAGAAAAGAAAACTGCTTTCTCATTAGGTAATTCATTGTATTTTAATGATCCATGTAGAACTAAAAATTCATCTCCTCTAGAATGGATGTGAGTACACAGTTAAGGCATCAGTACATTTTAGGCAGGAGTAACCTCAGCAAAGATAAAGAGTTGTGAGAAAGTTTGGGTATCATAGAACACCCAGAGTTCATGAATTCCTTGAGTGGTAGTTCTAAACACTGTATGTAATTGTCACCTTCAGAGTTTAAGACACAGACGAAAAGACTCAGAATACATTATGTAGATTGGAGTGTCCATCTCTTTTAAAGGTTCCCTAGGTAGTTCCAGTTCTTAGGAGGGGTGGAAAACCTCTACGATAGATGTTTGAATGAGAGGATGGTAGTGGTGGTGATGGCGTTGAGTAGGTTGGTAGGAGAAAGGCCAGGTAGATCAGCAATATCTGCTCTGAATGTGAACAGATGGAATGGTAAAAATATCATTATTACCTACTATCTTAGGGATAGAAAATGAATAACCTATCCAAGGCGGTTGGATCTTGAAGAGCTGGCAGAGTGCTGACGCTACCTTCCATTAAGAATAAACATTCATGAATTTTTCTCAGAGGCTCTTTTGATTTAAACGCCTTCTGATCTTTTCTTATAATTAAAGGCATTAAATTCATATGTGAAGAATTTATGACAGCATATTTAAATAATGATCTAAACGACTTTCTCCAATACTTTACAATAGACATAAGTATTTTTGAAACAGCTTTAACACAATTACTGCCTAAAAATAGGCGCAGAGAAGAGTTTTATAACTTTTTTAAAGCAGCAGCATTTTAAAATATAATACACAGAATCCAAATTTGCATGTGTAAATAAATAGAATACATGAAAAGAATCTGAATGTGAATCAATTCCCTTAATTATTTATCCATTGTTTTGATGCTGTCTTAAGACCCATTTAAAACAAGCATCTTTCTGGTGGGTAACAAATTCGTAGTCTATCAAGCTGGGCTCCCACTAACACTGGCCAAGCTGCTGCAGACATGAAGATTTCATCTGGGAACACGAAAGGAGAACTCAAAATCCAAATCTTCATACTTTCTTAAGAGAAGCGTGGAAGTGGGAAAAGGAGAAATTCAAACTCTGCTTAATTTTAAAAGGGCAGTAAAAGGGGAGGCTGCAAAGGCTAGTTTACAAAAATAGACGTCGAGAACTCCTGGGGAAGCAAGTGGGAGAAACGGGCTTTTTTGGGGGGAGGAGACATTTGCAGCCCATCGGACGTAGTCCCCGCCGCCCTCCTCCCAGAAGGTCCCCACACCCTGTCCCGGGCCCTCCCCTGGCTTCCGCGCTTGGCCGGGAGCCTGGGTGGGCGGGATAGCCTCTCCAACCTCTCCTTCTTGGCTGGAGGCACAGGGGCATTAACTTAGCGCCCCGGGACTCTGCCAGGCTCACGGGACAGCTGCACCTCTCAGCTTCTCCAGCTCTGGGACGCGGTCGTCCCAACTCCCTCTGAGTGGAAAGAGTGCAAAACTTTTGTTCGTGCGCGGGTGGGGCTCAGTAGTACCACGGCGCGTCCTGCCCCGGCTTCCCCAGCCTCCCAGCAGGGTTAGCTGCGGTCAGAGCACTTTCCACTTGCGACTGCCAGCCAGAAACTTCTCGGGAATGGAGCAGTCACACTGTGGCAGCAGAGACCGAGGCGGTAGCGGCCGACCCCACCTGGCCCCTGGGCTGGTGGTGGCGGCT